TATAGCAAATATAGCTGTTGCTGCAAGATTTTCCCTTCTGATAACTGGCTCAGAGCTACTACTTCTTATTGGGCCATAGAAGAGACTGCTTCTGTTAAGGTGAGTATGTTGATAAGGCCCAGCTGGCTCTTCGTGGCTTTATTGAGAAGTCTCTTGAATAGCTTATTCACAAGGATATCCTCTTGATTTGTTAGTGCCGTTACAATCATTACAGATGATCCAAATAAGTGACCAGAACATCAGTTCTGGGGGACTCTTTTAAACCTTAAACTTAGCTCTGTAGATCTCGTGATTTTTAAAAGGGTCAGATCAGCAACACAATCTTTATCCCATTCCTCCTGTTGCAAATTGTTCTGGTTTTTAATGTAGCTAGGGCTAAACCATCTAAACTCAAGATCATACATCAGTGTGTAATATGTTTTACCTCTACCACAGAAACCTGCAGTGCAAGCCACAGCCTCTCCTGAGCAGGTTGTCAAATGGTGGTTAACGCTTGTCTGAGATGCTGCTGATGTAACAGGTATGTAGTGGTAGATGCACCCAGGGACCCTACATTCATTATACATTACTTTACGACCCCAGGATTCACCACAAGCCATCATTGACATTGCAGGATACTTTCTGACTTGAAGCATCTCACTACTGCCCATAGTTTAGGGTCTTTGGAAGCAGCTTTGACTAACAGAAGTAATAAAACAGCAGCATTTCCAGTTATTCTTGGCTGGTCTTGGGGGCTCTTGACCAGAACTAGAGCTGTGGTACTCTAGCTGGTAACAGCTTGGAAGTCCTGTAGAGACTTTCTCAAGTGGTTTCAAACCCATCAGGTGACAGTCCACCTAGCAATCCTTAGTCATCACCACTTCCCTTGTGTTGAAATTGATAATAATGGAAAATGTTTGATTTATTAGTCTGGGTACACCTAACATTAGCTAATCATTCTGAGTATGTGTTTGTAGGCCGATCGATGTCAGTTTCTTACACAGCATTGACAAATTTCCTAAGTCCAGGAAAGGACATCTTCTGGAGTTGACACATGTCTCATATAACCATCTCTCTCTCTAACAGAAATCTCTCCCTCCAACGCGAGAGTACTTCTATATTGAGAGTATGTCATTCTTTAAATCAGAAGCATTATTTTAGACTCGTTTGCATTTAAGAGATCAAGTAAAATCCAATATGCATATTAGTAAAATCAGTAAACTCTGCAATACGTTTTGTAGTCACATTGCCATAATGTCGCCTTCCTCTCTACTTTGTGGCATTTTCAAGTGAAACTACTACTTGCAGGAGTAATGGATAAGTCTACTTTATAACTATATAACTAGATATGTCCATAATATTTACTGAATAAATATGAATTTAGCTAAATGACTGAATTTTAAGGTATTACAATAAACAGATTGTGTATGTGATGTAAATTGAAACAACCTTTATTTATACACAAAGCAGAAAAATCACAGTGTGCATCCGTAAGTTAACCAACAGCTCGCTTCCCACAAGATGTTTTTCCACTGACATATTCACTTTGATCACCAAGTAGAATTGATGAATCCAATGCCCCATACAAAACAGGAAACATCATATTTACCCCCAAGTAGCAGTGACAGCATTAAGCTAGGCGAAGTATGCGACTAGCTAGGGCACTGAGTAATAAGGGGCCCCACCCAACATGTATCATTGCGACAATGCAAGCTCAACTTGATGGAAGAAACGAAAATATAGAAAATTACACAAATTGTTTCCACGAATCAGAACTCATTTTACTCACTTTGACAGCGTAGTACGTATTATCTGTTATGCTGGAAGTGTGGTGAAATTGATGATGCTATGTCGTGATCTGTGTCAGAGCTGTCAATGTGAGATTGATATTTAAGGTAAATTGTTATTGTCGTTGTTTAAGACTTACACTCACATCTTTTAATGTTCCTTTCTGTAGCTAGAGATTTAACTTGTGTTGCCTATACCAAGAGCTAGTTATTCCTTTCAAACTAGAGTTAATTCTCCTATAAAGAACACCCAGAATAACCGGGTTTGGATCAGTGCTTATGAGTGCAAAGGCCTTAGCAGAGAAATTAGATATTCCTGCACAGTTGAAAAAGAAATGACAGCAAAGGAAGAAGATGTTCAGCTATGAAGAAGAAAATGAACCTAATTTTTGTGCCGAAGATCATTTTAAAATAAACTATTTTCTCACATGGTTGTTCTTTGAAGAAATGCTTTGAAGGGCTTGAAAAACATCCCCAGGATTTTGTCTTCCTCTACATTTCATTGTTATATCATATGTCTTAATCTGACCTTATGAAACGCTGTAATGACCTTCAACTGTTATCGACTGACAAAGACTCCAAAAATATTGATGGTGTTGAACTGTGTGAAGAGTTAGCATTTCTGTGCTGTGTTATTCTTGATTATGCTAATGCTGCCATCACCATCCCTAATTTAGCAGTGAAAGACTAGCGGGGAGGCAGCTAGTCATCATCATCCACCAACAACTCTTGGGCTACTCTTTTACCGACGAATACTAAGAATGACGGTCACATTATAACGCCTCCACAAATGAAAGGGCGAGCGAATCAAGCACACTAACCACCTGGCTATGCCGGACCATTGAGAGTGAATTGCCTTACGTATACTCCAACAATACATAGCTCTTGCATTGTTTTAACCATACTGTTGCGTCAGCG